CTGGCATTTATGGGGCTGCTGCGCCGCCAGCAGTCCCACCAGGCCTCCCTACCTTGCCAAGGTGCAGTTTTAGTGGTCATGCCCAGGACCTGGGCCCTCCTCTTTCCCCATAGCCCCAATCCCATACCTCCAAGTTCATCCTGGCAGGGGAATGAGCTCAGCAGGGACATGTTCTTCCCTTGCTGGCTGGTAATGCAGTTAGTGCCCCCTCCAGCTGAGAGCGCGGCATTATTCGGCTATTAAAAAACACAGAAAAGGAAATTGGTGCAGATGGAGTGAGGAGGGTGGCACTCAGTCCATCTGCAGGTGGAGCTTGGGGAACACCAGCAGCGGGAGGTTCACTGTTAGCAACACCAGCTGCTCCTCTAACGTAGGATCCAAGAAGGTGCGGTGAAGTGTGACAACATCTCCAGCGATGTTGAACACCGTCTCGCTTGGAACACTTGTCAGTGAACAGGACAGGTGTTGCCGGGCAACTGTGGCCTGATCCTGCCACATCTGCCTGCGCTTTGCCCAGTAGGCCAAAGGGTGGCAGTCCAGTGGCTCCACATCCTCAGCGATAAAGGTAGCCACTGAAGTCTCAGTGCTACCTGCCCGAGACTGGGGTCTAGTGCATTTGGACCCCAGCATTGAAGCCATGCTCATGGCCCACATTGGCAGTGGCTGGTGTGGAGGAGACTGGCTGGTGCTGGTGCTGGGAGTGCTGGCATAGGGAAGTGGATCCTCCTCTTCCACATCCCCTCTCCTCTGCACTTTGGCCTCCCTGACTTTGTTTACCAGCAGCTGCGTCCAGTGATCAAGGGTTTTGGGGCTGCCAGTGCATCTGCTCCCCTTCACCCTCAGGCTGCACATGTCCGCCATCATGTGGACCATACTGGATCACAAGGGATCCAGCCATCTCCTGATGCCCTCCTTCAGCCACCTCACCAGTGCCTGCACATCTGGTGACAGCGGCTGCCCCAGCCAGGAACATTGATCGCCTGGAAGCTCTCCATTTGGTTCTCCAGTTCCCTCACTAGGGGGATCACCTGGCTGAGGAGGGCATCGCCAGCACTAAGGGTCTCAGGGGCCTCGAGGAAGGTCTTAAAGACCAGCGAGATCTGGGAGATGGTATCCCACTCATCTCTGTTCAGGGGAGCGCTGATCCCAATCTCCCTAAGCAAGGGCATCTCATGGATGGCCTTCTGTTGCTCTACCAACCTCTCGAGCATCAGGTATGTGGAGTTCCATCAAGTCTCCACACCCTGTATGATTCTGTGCTGCAGGATGCTCAGCTCTGCCTGTTTCTCCTGCAGCATCTTGTTCCCCTTGATGCTGTGGTGGAAGTAGCCCACCACCTTCCTGCATTTTAAAATCAGCTGGCTTGTAGCAGTACTAGTGGTGGCACCGTCATCAGCAGCCCTGTCCCCCTCCAAGGCATCCCTCGCTATTAGGTGCAGCCTGTGTGCCACACAGTGGATGCCAACAAAGTTGGCATCATGGGCAGCCTTCACCATATTGGCCCCATTGTCGGTAACAATGAACCTGCGGGTGAGCTCGGCCTGCCCAACGAGCCACCCCTGCACCATGTGGTTCATGGCTCCCATGATCTCCCTTGCCGTGTGGGACTCATCCAGCACCTCGGCTTGCAGTAGAGCCCACCGATGGCCTGACTGAGCGCACCAGTGCCCTGGGAGGGAGAGGTATTCGTGATCACCACCCTGGCTGCTCCAGATGTCGGAGTTGAAGTGCAAGTTACCTGCGACCCTGCCTTGTACAGCTCCTCCCTCAAGTACTCCCTGCATGCCTGATACAGGGAGGACACCACTGCCCTGCTAAAGGTGGTGCGTGTGGGCACATTGTAAAATGGGGCCAGAAGTGCTACGAACCACCTGAACCATGGCTGCTCAACTAGGGAGAAGGGCTG